TACGGAGGATGTATATATATAATCTTTATACGTATGAGGAGTCGCGGAGAGAGACATCACATCGGTGCAAGACATCACCTGCATACCACCTACAATAATAAGGTACATCGGATCCTATATATAAGTACATATACACCGTCTGGTGCGAGCTGGTAATCATAATTAATGCAACGGTATGCTCTTTGCTCGTCTTCACTGGTTATTGTTGCATTGTTTTATTACTTGCTCTTTTTCCGTCTTGGTCCAATTAAATCGGTATAGCCTCGCTGCCGCCGAGCGCCTCTCGTCTTTGATCCGCGCTGCTGTTGTTGCGAGGAAAATTAACGGGAGAGACAAGCGGCATGGAGGGTCGATGAGAGAGCTCTGCGGCGCATTTTAATTGCAAAATCCGGCACCGCTTGTCGTTCACTTCTTTCGGGAATGTTGTTGAATTTCTTTCAACTGGTAACAGAGTAGTTGTTTTTTTTTTTTTTTTTTTTTTTTCACTGCACCTATAGGGTTGTTCATTTTTCCATATGCGGTTTAAATGTGATGTCGAAATTATACTTTGCACCCGTGACAAATAAGGTGGTACGAGAGTAAGGTATTTCGACGAAATTTCAAAGACGATATAGTAGGTAACACCGATTTGGCTTATATAGTATATAAGGTTGTACGCGCACCTTTTTTTGTTTGTCTGTTTCCCCAACGATTTTCAACTATAGGGAGGTAAAGTACCCGCAAGCGTATAAATTCCAAAATATATATTTAAAACAACCCTTTGATTTGTGTACATGCAAACTTTGCATCCGTAAATTAATAATGTCGGCAACTCATCCAATAACGTATACCCAACATATATATAATCATAGTACCCAAAGTCGATGATGGCATCATCAATCTTATACATACTTACAGTGCCAATGGAGCCGAGCAATAAAAGCGCCCTCAATAGTCCCCGGTCCATAACGTTCATCAGAGCCAATAATCGACTTTCATTTATCATTCATCAAGCATTTACAGGCATACATACGAGAGAGCTTTGACCATAATACATTGTATAATGTGTAGGCACAGTAGGGCGTAACGCGGAGAAAAAGAGTAAAAGCAAGGAGCGCGCGACCAAGACAACGGGGTCGGTGACCACTTTAACAACGACACATTACGTCGACCACGGTATATAATATAATTATATAGTTATGTATGTATATAGCGATACCGAGGCGTACAATATGGGCACAGCTATACCGATTTCTCTTGGCGTGCAATGCAATATGAAACGCACTCTCTGGAGTAGGTAGAGTCGGGACGGTCCGTAATGCCGGTATCTAGGCTAATCTGCGAACGAAGCGCGCCGGTAATGTGACCGTTGAGGAAGAAGGAAAAAGGAATGCGGTATATACTGCAGTCTCCTGTTGTCGTCTCCCTTTTTCACCTGTGATGATGGTGATGATACATCATTATGTGTATACCAACACGGTCGCGAGGTGCGTGCGGAACAGGTTTCTTTTTAGCACACGGAGCGCGCGTCGGCGAATCGAGCGGGAAGGAAGATAGGGAGACCCGGAGAACGATGGGCGTTATCGAGTGTTTTATGACCTAGATGTAGGTATATTACACCTATGCCTACTGTCTTTTCGGTAGCCAGTCCGATCCGTTTCGAATCGGTATGATAAATCGCGTTACGCCGGGTGTGAAGATTAAAAACAAGATACGGGCAAAAGGAGCACGTAACTGTCGATGATGACTCGACGCCGATTCTTTTTTATATGGGTTGTATTTACGTGTACGAGATAACAATGTGATGTATATTGTTACGTCCAGACGCCTGTGCATGATGGCTCCGTGGCCCGGAGTTGAAATCCCAATTTGGAAAGAAATTTCATTCACAAGCATGAGGCTATTTTCTCCGTAGAGGTTGAGAAAACCCAACGTTTCTCCCGCTGTTTAACCCACTGATACCGTTTCGCCAGTTATGGATAACTTGGGTGGTGTCATGATAGCCCTTCGGGCAAAGATGAACATAAAAAAATAATAATAAATCAATATTTTCACGAAAACACCAATGTATGGTGTGATAAGTACACCCTATACCTATAAGAGAGTGGAGATCGTTATAAATATTTTCGTAACGCGGAAACGTGCGTGCCTGTGTAGTCTACATTATTATGTGTAAGTACACCCTCTTTTTTTTATATTAGCCCATTCTTTCAGCCGCTGTAACTGCGTCTACAACTGCGACGGGTGTGAGAACAGAAGCACGTGCACGCAAACTTTTGATACACGCTGCTATACATTGTAAGTATATAAGCAGTAGGTGGATTTCTTTTTTTTTCTCTCATTTTGACATTGTTTTGGATTTTCGGTGTGATGAGGTACGTATGATGTCTCATGTTTTTCGACTGTTCTTACTTGGTTCGGATTCATGACAAACTTTCGCACAGATTGGTGCCTTTCGGCCAGTGTTTGCAGAAATCGGGGATTCCCCGCGTTGGCTCGAAACGGTTTGGAAATTCAATGATGGCAAATTCGCGGAAAAATCAGCGTTATAATTGCTCTAGTAAAGCTCGTTGGACCTTTTTTTCATGAAACCATCTCGAATACACGAGGTTCTTTAATATATTCAAGCGGTACATTTTATCTTTCGTACGTATCAAACCCTCCAACGTGAAAATGTCGAGCCGTAACGGATCTTTAAGGTTAAAAATACGCACAAGTGGAACGAAAATGTTGAAAACTCGACTTGTCTCCTCTGCGATCGATCGGATCAAGTGAGCGGTTTTCATATATAATTATTGTAGTAATACCTCGACTGGTCTAGTTGTTGTTCGGCACTATATCTGAATTTGTGATAAGCAGTCAAAATAAAAAAAAGAATCATTCCTTCTAGGAATCCAACGAGTTTGCAAGGCATAAATGGATGCTGATAAATTACATTGCACCTGCTTATACTGTGCATCAGTTGACTAATACAACATTTCTCGTATGCTTCTGCTGTGCGCAAGTAACGCAGTACGTGTAACACATTGTATTGTATTTTGAAAACTTTACGCGCGTATATGAACACGTTTAACACACTTAACTCGGCGCAATTTCGTATCTTTGCGAAACGATCGGAGCAAGTTAACGCTATCGATCGCTATTTTCAATCGCGAGCGGTGCAACTCAAGTTGAACAGTACGAGATAAATTTTTTGTTTCCCAAGTCCACGCGCGCAAAGCACCGAAAGATGCACATCCCTGATAATACACGTACTCGTGTATACACGTATAGTATAGAAACATCCTCTAATTACACACTTTACAAGTTGATCCCTACGCGCATTACCGATGGAACATAACCCTCCCCCTTTAACCGATAAATGAAGCAACAAAAAAAAAAAAACAACTCCGGTCACCGGCAACAAGCCTTTACCGCAGATAACTAACCCGAGAAGAGGAAGAGGAAAAAACGAAAGAGTCATCTCACGAACGATTCCCACGATCCACTAACCGTAAAGAACAAAAACAACATCGATACATCTGTAGGTACGTGTGGGCACAAGAGTTGTATACTATATTATATACTCACTTGCTCGAGAGGTAGATACGACGACGAGGGAAGATCAAGCCGGCGAGCGGGAAGGATACAAATGGCCCCACAGGTCGTCGGATGTGAGCCGTGTAGCATCTCCTGGTCGCGCTCTTCGGATCCTCGATTTATTGGACAAAGTGTCTCCACTTATTCCACTTGCCGGCCAATTTTTTTACCCACGGTCGCACATTCTTTCCTTTCTCGCCTGGAGCGCTAGACTTTTTTTTTTTCCTCCGGATCTTCCAAGATGCTTCGGTTCGTGGGTCGGAAAAATTATTGCATACTTTGTTGTTACTTCACATGGCTTCTTGTGATGCGGCTGAGACGAGGCACTTCTTCACCATGCGTTTCCCCGCTTCGTTTTGTTTTTCACCACTCGCGATACTTTTCCTGTCATTTTCCACTGATTTGATTTCGAGGGGTGTTTTCGTTTTTTTCTTTTTCGTTGACACCCGATTTTCGTTGGTTTTTGGGTGGGAACGAGAAAAATATTAATTTGAAATAAATCGGTCGAAACAGTATAAAATCGTCAAAAATCAAATAACTGTACCAACCGGTAATGCGGTAAATGATGAAACTTTTGTCAGTTTAATCGACGCTAAAACCACTCAATCAAAGTTAGTAGCTTGACTGTAACTAAAAAATACTTTCTGATTGCAAATCAAAAGTTTAGAGGGCGTACAATCAAGATTCAGCTCAAAGTGACGTATCTGTTTGAAAAACGAGGAGAAAAATCCAGCACTGAAACTGAAAGTCCCCTTCACTGTTTATTTTATTTTTTCACAAATTACGATTTTTTGGAAAGAAAAAAAAAAAAAAAAAAAAAAAAAAAAAAAAAAAAAAGAGCACATGTGCACACACCAGAAACGTAAATAAAAATAAATAACACAGTAAAACTGTGCCAGCAGCGCGTGTTGCTGCGGCCGCGGCCGGTGACGGACTAACGTGATCCGCGCTTCTCTCCACAGTACGTAAGTAAGTATCCTCTCTCTTTGCGAGCTTAGCGCAGCGATTCATATGATTTAGGTCACCAGCACGCGCGCCCATACGAACCATCAGACACCGCTGGTACACCTTGTACCTATCTCCTGGTAGCTGCTAGGCTACTTAACTGCGCTCCAAAGTGAACGTGTGTACCTGCGTGCGCTGTATACAGCATATATAACTATACAGACAGGGTTCGTGCTTCATCTACTGCTAAGCAATACCAAGCATTGAAAGGAAAACGGCGCGTACACTTTTTTTTTTTGTAAAAAAATAGTTACTTCGGTCATTATCGAGCGAGCAGATCGAGCAAGGCTAATAATACAAATCGGTGCTGACCCGTTCTGCTTTGATACCCTGTTGGGGTCGGGACAGTTTTTTTCAACACCGCGGTATTTTCTTTTGCCTAAAATGCAAATTTTAATAGGACGATAATAAGTATCGGTATTAATTCAAAACCTCAATGATTGGTACACATCCAATGTTTATTAAAATAATTCTTAATATAGACAAGTTGTCTGTACAATTGGTGTCTTTAGGATGTATGGCAACAAGAGTAGCTAAAAGATAGGTCGAAAGAACAAAAACAAATACACCTAGTTTTACATAAGCTAAAGAAAAAAATCAACGTCAACTGTACAGCTACTCTAAAGTAAAATCAACGTATAAAGAAGAAAAAAAAGAGCAACGTTTATTCCTGCAATATTAAAAATATCTCTCCCTCTGAACGTCTATATCACGTATTTTCCTTCGGCACTAGGGAAAATAATTTTTTTGTTTTTGTGTGTAGGCACGTTTCAAATCATTTACTGACTGTACATAATAGTCTTTGGTTTGAGCTCAATGAACTTGGTGTAATTCAGCTGCAAAACGACATAGCTGCGGTTCTCGAAGACGCGATGGAACGGATGGGCGTTGCCGTGGAATAGCGTCGGGCACACCGGTACCTGGCCTTCGTTTTTTGCTTTGCCCCTATCGACAAAGTCCCATAGTTCCAGCATTTTGCAACCTGGTTTCCTGTGTAAGTCGAAAATTTCTCTGAATTTAAATTAACAAAACAAAAATAATTAGGCATTCCCGTGTATCGGTCGTGCCCGAAAATTATCGTTTGTCTTTACTTAAATTCAATACAAGTGATAATTTTCTCGTTTCAAAATACAGAAATGCATAATAATACCAATATCCATATCCATAGCATAGGCCTTCTTCAATGACAAGATAGTCCACATGTAATTTCATTAATGTTTCGTGAACCTCAGCTACGGATTTCCTGCTGAATATTTCATAAACCTTCATCGTTTTTTCGCTAAAATCATTTGAACGGTTAATTAAATTTTTAATGGACATATTATTGTCAAGTTTGATTTAACAAACTTACTGCATCTCTTTACTTTCGTAATAAGGATTGTTAACAACTGGCCTCTTTGTTGATAACATGATATTTGCCATTAGAGACATTTGACCAGCAAAAGATGCTGTTTTTGGCGTTGACGTCTGTATCCACTCGAGTACTTCCTCTTGATCCACATTACTGTATTCTCCTGCAACGAGACCAATGATTTTTAATATTTTTTCAACTATCCTGTACATAAATGGCTTACCGACGAAATCTCGCTCCTTAAGCACACGCTGGAATCCATGATAAGACATCAAGGCGAGTATAAGCGCGATCAGAGCACCTTGCGTTGTTTTCTTCTTGATCCCCAACTTTTCGAGGTATCGTTTGCTAGAAACTTGTCCAGCGAGGATACACAAATGGGGCGTCATAAATAGCTTCAACCGCATGACAAACACCGCCATAATGACAAAAGCTCCCATTTGCAGCATGTTGTAGGCAACATGTGGTTCGATGCATCCTGGAAAGCCCTGTGACCTCAAGTTCCTGTACCAGTAGTACAGAATCAGAAAACCCGCGAGAATGGCAGTTGGCAGCAGGAAAGTTTTCACGATTGCTTCGTAATTCTCGTACTTTAAAAAATCGAATTCAGGAGCGCATGTGTACAAAAGCGTGTGAAAATCCTTGTAAGATGATATTTTTGAGCGCAAGATGTTGAAAATGTGCTCGTCATCGGAGTTGGACGATAACGCGATCTTGAATAGTTTGCTGAAGACAAGAGTGCACGCGATTTCCAATAACGTCATTGTTTTAGGATCATAATGGCGGGATGATAAAAAGTGACTGAGTTCCGATGTGAAACAGCTTACGATGAGCAACGCCAAGTGTATCGAATTCATGAGGAAGGAGTTGCCCGTTACAGCGAACACCAAGCCAACTGCGAGCAAGTGAATCGTTATAAAAAATCTGTACATGCTGACGTCGATTATTCGCAGCCATTTGAGAATCAACATTGCTATTGTCTGGGTCACAAATACAAATTGAGAGAACTGCCAGCTTTGCAGACAGAAACCCGATAATACTGTCAAGTCCTGAAGAAATGCGTTAAAATTTTATGAATTACTCGTTTAATAATGAAATGCTTTGCTTTCAAGAGGACTAACTCACAACGTATGTCGAGGTGGTTTCCGGTTTTTTCTTCTTTTTCAAAATTTCCGACAGCAAGAACATCTGTAAGAGCAGAGCAGGATAAGCAAAGCTCTCTCTCAAAGGTGGTGTCCACTGTACTCTGGTACATTCTGTGTGATTGAAAAAAAACGAAGCTACAGCTATTAGGCCTCCGATGACGGATCCACTCAGATTGGCCCCAAAAAGAAATATTGTGTATCCAGTGACTAGCGCGCACAGCCATACGAATTCCAAGTAAAAATACACTGGCACTCCTATACCCTCACAGCTGGTTATTGGTGCCAAGCCATGGCCTCTTTCAATCTTCAAAATGGTACATTTATTTTTATACGTGAATACAGTGATTAAAATTCATTTAAAATTTCACTCACCTGCCAACATTGTGGCTTTGGCAGAAGACCGAAAAATTTCATAATATGATAAAACATACCAATGTTCACTTCTGGTCCAAGACTATATTTACTTTCGGCATTGATGACGTTTGGATATTCCGATAGATTGTCGTGGTGCACTTTTTGCATCCCCTCGTAAAAAGTTCGAGATTCAACTATTGTTTTGAAATATGAATAATACATCCCCTAGGACATAGTTCAAGCAATAATGCAACGATGAGTATAATAATAGTAGTGCTAAAGTATAATGACAACAAAGAGAGAATGAATGTTGTGTGTGGATAAAAATGAAGTGACAAACCATTTCTGTTCTAAACGACATTTCCCTCTCAAGCTCCGACAAATGAGAAAAGTGTCTTTCATTTTCAAACAACGTTGACACATGCCAGCGATGTAAAATTCCAAATCCTAGAGCTAAAGACAACATGAACACGAAAATCAGTCATTGGTTCCTCAAAGTTTTTTTTGGATACACTTACCTAATATTACTTTGAGGGAGAAGTAAATCCTCGACTCCCCTTCCATTATTCCAAAGGTCTAACCTCACAGCTTCTTGTCAATTCCTTTGAACGAGATTTCACAAAAAAATTTATCTTCTTTCTCACTTCGAATTCATCTCGACAATGTAACATTCTATTTTTAAAAGAGAAATCCACGAGCAGCGTCAACTTGGGTTTTGACAGGTTTTGAATCGACAGCCCATCACGATTTATCTTAAGTATATATACTATATGTTTACTTCGTTAATTTTGCATGTCCTCTGCAATCTGTAACCTGCAGCAGCACTCCGACAACTCGACTGCATAGTCTGCTGCGGTATCCGAAATTCCGAATAAACAAAAGTCCAAAATTCATTCGATTGAAGCACCCTGAACATCTTGTGTATCTACAAGTCATTTCTGATTATCCACGTAAATGATTGGTTGGCAAAATCTGAATAAAAAATACTAGTTGAACAAAACAAATTATTCTTAAATAACCCAGTTCAAAAGTTCGCGGTACACCCGAGTCTGCGTGGGTGGATGGGGAAAAATGGAAAATCAGGAAAACGACCAATGACCATTCCGGAGCTTTCATGTCAGCCTATAGCTCTTCAGCTTCAACGCTCGCTCGCGGATTTTCATTTCTGTCTTTGTTGCACGTAAATAGTCAATTCGTCATTCTTTTAAAGAATTTCTTTATCACTGCGACTTCCACACTACTTCGACAAATACATATAGGTATATACTCTGGTGGTCTGGTATACTTACTTATATACATACTTCTTTCACACAATTCCGGAAAATTCGTTCATCGACTCATCGTAGATAGTCATCTTAAGTACTCGTGTAGACGTGTACTTACTCTGTCGTGCAGTGGCCGAAACTTACTTATCGTTGTCGTCAATTGTCAAAGTGAAAGTCTAGACTTTAGAGGAGACTTGTCAATTCATCGCGCGCGCAAGTCGTCATTTTGGTCTGGGAATCGACTGATAGTGTTTCGTGTGTGATGTAATTTTCAAACAAAAGAACCAGACTGTAAATGGTTACTTGGTTGCCAAAAAGTTCCGTGAATTGCTTGTCGTGAGTGCAGTGTCGTCGCCCAGGGTCATAGAATCGTCACCTGCAAATTTGCGTTGTCTTGAATGTTGTTAACGTTCGGTGTACGGCAGTTTCTCAAGCCAAGAGTAAATAAAAGTGTCGTCCATAGGAAGACGTCGAGGAGGCCGTCTTCGTCGTTGTCGATGAATTCTCTGCAGAGTCTGTTCTAACCTAAAGAGTAAGAAGGTGACACTTTCTGCGCTTTTGTTCATCAATACCTACACACACCGAGAGATATCTGTTGTTTGGTGAACCAAATCATAGTCGAACGTGCGTCGAGTGCAGGTAATTTTCAAGCTAATTCATGGAAAGTTTAGTCATTTGATGTTTTAGATCGTGACGCCTGCTTTGTTGATGTTTACGTTGGTTGGTCAGTCCATGTTTTGTTTTCATTGTCGTATTTTGACACACGAGCGATTTGGCCATTCTGGGCTCTAGCTCTAAACGACATCTACATACTAGTATTTGTATTTATCGATTGATTTACAATACTTAAAGATTAAAGCATATTTCTCATTTTTTGTGTATTAAAATCTGACGTCAACTTTACACCATTTGTTGTGTGAATTGTAGGCTTCCATCGAGCAGCTTAGGTAGAACAAGAAATCGTTCTTGCAAAGAAGACTGAAAAACGGAAGAAACAATCAACAACCACACGGGAGAGAAATAAATCAGAGTCTCTCTGGAAGTTTTGGTTATGAAAGAATTGGGTCGGTTGTCGGTTGATAATAGGGGGATGCCATGCTGCCAGTACAGTCTCTGAGCCAGAAAGAGGTGGCAGCTACGACAACAGAAATGGCAGACGAGCTGCTACCTGCCAGTCTGGAGAAGCTCGAGATCGACCAGCTTTCCCAGGGCTCCTGTCATCAGTGAGTTTTGATGACTTGTCTGTTATTATACCTGGTTCGGTTAATTTGTCAAAATGTCAATCTTTTGAAGCTCGATGGTTTTGACTGAAACTTCATTTCATTGAATTTTATTTCATTGAATCTCAGTTTTGATGTGTAAGAAATATTTCAGCATATACGAACAAATTTTTTGTAACCAACTGGTGGAGTAACATTGAGATTAAATGTATTTGTATGCAAACCTAACATTTTTTAACAATAGTTAAGAAGTTTTTAATTTAGTATCGTTGATCATTTGTTTGTATTCATTGTTGGATATGACCACAAGGTTGGTCAATTTATTTCATAATCAGGTTTATTTTAAAACTGGATTTATTTTGGTTTACCTCTAAGGTCTGTGATTGCTCAATTGTTTTTAAAGTATATATATTGATTAAACAACTTTATTAATATATCAACAAACATATTTCATGTTTTATTTTCAACTCTGACTGTTTTTTTCCTTTTTAGTAGCAGCTAAATTTTACTTTCATTGTTAGCTCACTAGCTAAAAATGTCATGTATGTCATGAGTGAATAAATTACATTTTTTTTAATAAATTTTGCATATTAAAGAAAAAAATGGATCCAAATGAGCACTCCAAGGTTGTGTACAAAAAGAATTTGGCAAGATGCCAAGCATAAATTAAAATCTCTAAAATTTCATTTTCTCATTCAGCTAAATAAGTTTAAATTTCTTGTATCTTATACAATCACAAAAGCTTCTCAACATATAATTGATATTTGTAAAATATATTTAGAAAAATAGAACAAAAGCATCAGTAAAATGTCATCGCCTTCAACGTCGTGTGATTTCAGAGCATTGAACGATAAATCGGCAGCATTAAGCCCCTTGCCTGGTTGCAAATGTTATAAACGAAACAACGGAGATTTTTCTCGGCGGTACACGAGGAAAACGTTGCCGATCAAAGCTTGCACCGACTGCAGTCGAGCATCGCTCGCGCTCACATTGCGTAGGCCGAAAAAGAAAAACTCCATCATCCGCGAGGCTGTTTTGAAATTGTGCAGTTCAGATCCTACGCGTCCAAGCGACAACCACGCCAGTACACTCCTCGAGAAAGCTTGCAAGCTTAGCATCTCAAAGTAAGCTCCAGAATGAACCATTTTGAAAATAGCCGTGCAAAGGTAACAAAAGTGTTAACGTCTCGTTTATAAAAATTGTAGGAAAATAAAAATCTTTGGTCACGGCTCGATGACCAAGGACTTTGGAGCTTTGAAAATCAGTCTCAAGGACTCGGAGGCGAAAGACGACAGCAGCATTCCCGAGACCGACTATCAGGCCAACAGTTTCCAGCGAGCTCGCAGCAATACGATGCCGAGCTTAAAAGCGTCGGACGAAAGTAGCCTCGTGTCAAACGCGCAGCAGCAGGTATCAGGTGCAAGTAACAATACGTGCTCGTTGCAGGCGCGCATGTCCGCGCCCTCGTGCGATGTGACCATAGACGAGCTCGCGAGTTATTTCGAGGAATATGTTCATATTCCCAAGAAGATGTCACACATGGCTGAGATGATGTACATTTAATGTACCGTCCGCTTGTCCGGTCCTCGTGTTTGTAACGCGCTTTCTCATTAGATGCTTTACAAACGACTCGAAATAATGATTGCCGTTTCCTTTTCTTTTCTTTTTTTTCATTTTGGCGCTTTGATAGCAGCTTACGTACCGTTAGGGTCCATCTCTTGTCAGTTTCGCCATAGTGTTTTACAACCTGGCATGAATATTTATTGTTTGAATTTAAAACTTTAGTGTAAATTGCGCACTGCTTTGCAAGGTACTGTTAATCTTCAAATATCAAAGTATATTTGTACAAATAAAATTTAACGAAATGAGTTATGAAGAGTAAATTTTTTTCTTAATTCAATTGATGTTTATGATTGAAAAGAAACCGCAGTTATTTGAAGCTGATATTATATCTTGATCTACTGTAAGAGCAAGAACAATCTTAGGAGCTAAGGTGCTGTTGAAAATAATGGCACAAAGCCACAAAAGCCACTTACACTTGTTAGTCTCGTACCGAAAGGTTGTCTTGTGTATCGTTCTCGTATTAACTATATGTTTTCCCCTAGGTTACTTTACTGTTTCGTTTGGTACCTAAACCTAAATTACATCATATACGTATTAATATAATGTAGATTGAGAATAAAAGTTAAGTAAGTAGGTTATGGTATTTCCTTAATTATTTACTTATGCTTTTACGTATTATAAAGTGACATTCATTTATTCATTTAAGTGTTTTCGTTTTTAAGATCAAAAATCGTTGATTTAGAACTTTATAAAGACTGTATATGTATTAACACCGTAACCATTTAACGCCTAAGGCAGGATATATAAGTATTAGTAATCTTTATGCAGTAAAATTCAAATTTGAATTAAANATGCTTAAACCACCTTCAAGAATCAACTGAATTATATCTTATCGTTTCCAGTTGTTAATTAAAACAGAAAAGTAACACGTTATAGTTGATGTTGCATCTCAAGCTGTTAATACCTTAGTTTTTTCTTATTACGTAGCATAAATTTTTTTCCATAAGTCAGAACCAACTGCAATAAAGTCTGACTCGATTAATTCTTGGTTCAACTAATTTTTTCGAGCCTTATTATTTTACGTTCAAGTATCCATAAAATTAATTGCTAACAATAGTATGGTCAGTTAACAAAGTCAACAAAGCAAATCAACGACAGTTAAGTTAATGAAGTACCCTGTAGCTTATCTTTTACGTCACAGTATTTTATGCTTTTACGTAGAATTTCATAGTTTTTAAGCTGTATTTCGGAATTTATAGCATGAACGTTGCTACTTATAACCATTTATTCGTATAAATTTTTTTTACAATCATGTATATATCCGGTGATATCGAAAAAAGTAATCAAGAATAAAATTTATAAATGCAACCACAACTTGCTACTTGTTTATTTATTTATTCGTGTTATGTTTTTTCCTTTTCATCTCCTTATAATTTGGGAAAATATATCCAACTCATTGGTAAAGGTATAATATATGGGTAATTCTTTTACAAAACGGATGAATTGAGGCAAAATCTGATGAACACATTTTTTTTTAGCTAAAACTTTTTTTATGGGTTCTATATCAAGAAAAAAATGATTTTCAGGTGCAAAAAAAACTTTCACCCCCCTATTTAAAAAAAAAAAAAATGTTTCAGCCAAATAAAAAATGAGTCGGTCATAATCATGTTCGGTTTGTATAATAGTTCTAAATGTAGAGTTAGGTATACAATATGCGGTTTGTCAAAATAAAAAAAAGCAAAATTACATATATCGTACTTATGATTCATAATATATTTATCTTCATTTGCATATACATAATAATCATGTCATATTACAAAATAATAATTAAATTACTTAAGAATATTTATTTCATGTATACAATAATCATATAAAAAAAGACTTTGGTACATAAAAAAGATTACGACAGCATATTAATCTTAACAAAATTCAACCCTTATCCGTCTTGTGTGTGTTATGGTATCGATTGTTTTCATTCGTTAACTAAAAAACTACAGTAGAAAATCGAAACGGGAAAAGTCGGGCTTTTTCTCTTCCACGTACACACACCCAAATGCAGGCATTCGTTCCCTACGTGAGAGTGAGACGCGAAACACGTGGTAATAAATTAACAAAAATTAAAAGAAATGCTTGTGAGGAAATATCGGTCGACGAGCCGCACCGACAACGAAGTTGCGCTTCGTCACTACAAAAACCAAGTTCTGTCTTTCGCTCCCCAGCAACACTGCACGCGTTTCACTACACAATCGGCGCACCTCTCCTTTGTTCTTAAAACGAGCGTTTGAAATTTTCTATTTTTAATTTCACATGCGTAATTCACCATTATTTTTTACGCATCGGCGCTCTTGTAATTTTTCGTTTTTCCAACCAATTCAGGTTTCGCGCACATTCCGTCACTCATATCACAGATAACATTCTCGCCTCCATCAGAGTTGACCCGCGGTGGATACCAACAAAACGCGTTGCTACGTTTTTTTTTTTTTTTTTTTTCTTTATTATTGCTAATGCAAGAGAGAGAGAGAGAGAGAGAGAGAGAGACGTTCAACTTAAACCAAAACGGATACAAAATTATATCCACACAGTTTCGAAACTACGCTATACACACACGTTGTCATGAATCTTTGTATACGAAAGGACGAGTTTGACTTTTTTCTTTCTTTTTTTATTTAATATATATATATATATATATATGTATAATTGTCGATTCGAAACAGACCTACTTCTTAAAAATACTATGTTAAAAATTACTTTACCAAGACCTCGTCGTTACTTCAATAACCCTTTTTTATCCAGTGATGGGTTACAGTTAAACCTTTTTCTCCTTCGTTCAGTCGGCATCACGTAAAAATGACTCTACAAAAACCATTTATACAGACATTCCGTGTCATGGTGACTGTTGTCATGTGCGACTTACGTTTATGTATTTTTGTTTTGTTTTTTGTTTTTTTTTGTTATTTTTTTTTTTTATACATCAGTAAACAATAAATAACGATTACCGGCGTCGCGCGCGCGCGCACATCTACCTATACGTGTTTCTGGAATTGTGGACGTGCGCTATTATGGCACCTGGAGTCAATCGTCGTTGATACTTTGCACTGAACTGTGTGATTCTTTGTTATCGGCTACCTATCGAACGATATTCAGTGCGTATACAGAAGCACCTTTGCCAGGGTCGGCTNTTTTTTTTTTTTTTTTTTTTTTTTTTTTTTTTTTTTTTTTTTTTTTTTGCGGAAATTGAGGCTCCGTCGGATTGAAAGCACATTTTGTATAAACAAAGTATCGTACTGGTGGATCTATTTAAATGTACTTTTTTCAGGCTTCTACGAATGTGCGGATACAATACATAATAGTCGACTCGGTAAAAATATATTTATCTTCATGCTTCTGTTTTTTTTTCTTTTGCTGTTCGAGGAAATAACAACTGATTACCAAAATGGATTTCGAGTATATGTACATTTTTCTTGAGGTAAAATCGGCGAAATTGACGAGTTGGAAGGGAATAATCGTTTTTTGAACAAATGCAATTAATCCATTTCAAACTCTCAATTTCTCCCTTACAATGAATCTTTATAAATCGTTATGAAAAGGTTTGAAAATTTGTATCGACAATCGTTTGAAAATGCATTTATTTTGTCGATCCTACAGTTAATTTAACAATCAATTGTCTCTGAATTAACACTTATATGTATTTGGCTCGAGTAAAAATAGTCGTTTGTATTTTTGTCGTTCATCAACCGCCATCATTCCTCCTGAGTGTGACTTTTGAAATGTTAAATTAGAGCATCACGTGTACGCGCAATTATTTGTAGTGATTAGTATAGCAAACAATCAAAAACTTTTGTTCAAAAATGTAAAATCGATGATTTTCAGCTAATGTTTCGAACAAGCGATCACCTTGTACTTTTGCGTGTGCAACACATATATAAATCAATACATAACTCTAGGTAAAAAATGCGACTATCGTGTACTGTTGAGGTATATTATCAGTATATTGACTTGAGCGAATGTTGGAATAATTTTCAAGTAACATGAAATAAGTACGCCATTGCTACAGAGCTGAGAGAAAGAGAGCCTCGTTTTTAAGTTCGAACATGTTTGTTTTTCTAAGAAGCACTTAAACATAATTTACATTAATAAGGTATATAGCTGTGATGCACCAGAGGATAAGGATAATCATGTACAAGTGAGAGATTCTTTCTTCCATACCTCCAACTTATGAGACATTCAGTCTTCAAAACCATAAACAAATTCATGGAAAACTTGACGAGTTAAATGCAATTTTTTTTTTGGTCTGTAAAAAGTCTAATTTCTATTTTTTTAATGTTATTTATAGTGTCTAATTAGTACGAATTTTGGTAAAAACTTACAAAATTTCTTACAAATCAGGTCTAGTTTCCTGATTTGTATCTTCTCAAATTTTCGTATTCAAGACTATACATATAACACCTATATAACAACTTTGGAGTCTAATCTGTTATGACGAGCAAGTGGGTGTACAAAAAAATAAGGAAATTTCAGTTGTTACATACAGCGTGGCTGAAATTTTATTACTTTTCGAGAATGCGTTTGTTATTTTTTTTTACTATTTACTTTGACTAAGAGTTGAAAGTCTGGCAGTTACTTTTTAACCATCGAGAATTAATTTGTCGAAACTCAATTGGTCCCCAGGTTAAGTAAATAAAAATCGCAATTTCAAAAGTACAGGAAATCTGCACTTTTACAGTCTTGGGTAGAAAAATTGTGCGACACCTAGTTTTCGTATTCGAGAACAGTCGATTGGATTTTTGAGCTGATCATGGTCACATTTTCTATTTAACTTTGAATATCATTCTACTCTATGACTTTCTTCGCAAATGCTGAAATTCGCTTTTGAAATATTTACCTGTACTCAGTCAAAAATGTTATTCGCCGTCGCGTAGAAAAAAGTAGGTATAATTATCAATACTCAAACGCTCGTATTGCTTCATTGAGTTTCGAATGATCGAATCACTTCTTGCACAAATGCTTGTAAATTATTTAAAAATGTTGTTGGGCACTAAAAAATTTTGGATTCAAAAAGTTATTTTAGCACTTTGAGATTTGTCTTGGGAGTAGAAGAAAAAAGCACTTTGTCGAAAAAAAAGCCATTCGATTATCTTGTAACACACATCATTTTCCAACGCGTTTCCACTTTTCACTACTCCACGGATCCTACAGTATGTGTGTATATTATGTGTACGTGTATATAATTTTTCTCGTAACGCGTAATTGAGCGAGATTAAGTTTGAATCGTGCGCGAATTGCGCAACGCTGACCCAAAAACTTGCTTACCCCCCTTTTTACGTTATTACCGCAATCACTGTTAGGCAATTTCCATAGCTCTAATGGTGTACATGTCACCACTGTTTATTCTTTCTAAGATATTTGTCTGCAGTGTATATGCTTTTTAAGGCCGAGTTAAGCAATGATATTTGTGTTTTTTCTCTTATCGAGGTGTAAAATCAATGAATATAAAAAATACGTTTTTTAAGCTATTTTTCATCCCAATAATTTGAAAATTCTTGATATCTACTATGCATGCCTAACAGTGACCTGTATGTTACATTTGTTCGAAATTCATTTTATAGAGAGACGAAATGCAGTTTTGAATTAATAATACATGGAGGGATATACGCGTCAACTGTAAAGAGACACCATTGTCGTGGAGATGATGCAAAATTGTTTTTGTTATTTTCTAACATGTACAATATTTAAAAAAAAAAGTTGTGCCATTTTTCGCAGATTATACTTCACAGTAACATCCATTGCTAATGATGAAGTTGATTATTTTTCTGTTTTTCTAGTTATTTGGCTAAATAATAAACTGTTTCATTCGTCATCCGCTCGTTTTTATTTAGAAACTTTTTTTTTCTACGGATGGTTTGAAACTTTGTTGGATACATTTATTACATTATTTTGTTTTTTATGGCGATATCGTCTTTATTATAATCATCTAAACGAGTAATATATAATTTTTCTAGTTTATCATGTGAAGGAAAATAGAATCTACTCGGAGAATATTAGTCAAAGTTACCAACGCTTAAATTTTTACAATTTCCTTGATTTTTTTTTTTTTAACTATTTTACATCGCTTTTTTTATGTCTCTTAAAAACGATTTTACATGAAATAACAATCACGTCCCGTACAAAGAATCGAATGAGGCAAAGAAATTGGAAAATTTCAATGTTAGTTTTTACGTGACAAAGCTCCGTTCGCGCTTGCGATTTTAATTATCAAGTTGTCAGAGTCATGGTTCAGTTTTGGGCAGTTTGAATCACAGCGAAAAATCGAGAAAAGAACAGTTATTTTTCCCTGCTTTTAATTCATCACGCATTAAATTTACATACAAATAATCTCTAACGCTTACCTTCTCAACTCTAAACTCAATCAACAGTTTTGCTCTACAATGTCTTTTACCTCCCTATACCTTACGTCTTTGTCAATATAAATATAATCTAACTCTGAAGTGTTTCCGCTTCCTGTACCTGGACTCGAAATGTCTTTTCAACTTTATTATTATTATTACTTTTTTATTCATTCGTTTTATCTATAAATCGTAACTGTCTCTAACAGACTAATTCGCAGTTACACGGTAACTAGTTTTACATCCTAACAGTATGTATATATATATATATATATGTATAATTGTCGATTCGAAACAGACCTACTTCTTAAAAATACTATGTTAAAAATTACTTTACCAAGACCTCGTCGTTACTTCAATAACCCTTTTTTATCCAGTGATGGGTTACAGTTAAACCTTTTTCTCCTTCGTTCAGTCGGCATCACGTAAAAATGACTCTACAAAAACCATTTATACAGACATTCCGTGTCATGGTGACTGTTGTCATGTGCGACTTACGTTTATGTATTTTTGTTTTGTTTTTTGTTTTTTTTTGTTATTTTTTTTTTTTATACATCAGTAAACAATAAATAACGATTACCGGCGTCGCGCGCGCGCGCACATCTACCTATACGTGTTTCTGGAATTGTGGACGTGCGCTATTATGGCACCTGGAGTCAATCGTCGTTGATACTTTGCACTGAACTGTGTGATTCTTTGTTATCGGCTACCTATCGAACGATATTCAGTGCGTATACAGAAGCACCTTTGCCAGGGTCGGCTTAGTACCCAAACGTAGCTTTTTTTTTTTTTGTTTTCGATTTCTCTGGAAATTGACTTTTGTTTGTTAATTGTCAGCTGCATTTTACCTTACCTACCCGCACAACAGAGTAAAATTAATACGCAAAAAGTTCCCCGTCGATTACAAAATGTTCCCCAAAACGTCACGTTTCGACATATTTTTTTCATTTCGAGCTCAGCTCAGCCTCGTCGTACTTTGCCTGACGCTCAATAAGTAAAAAAAAAAAAAATAGAGAGAGAGAGAGTCGCATTCGATACATCCACGTGTGGCAGTATGTGCAGACAGCATTACAAGCTCCTTCAACAGTAAATACCGTAAAATTCCATGGCACAGTTGACGTTATGCGGATGGTAGTGATGATGGTGGTGGTGTGGCACTAGGTGGGACGCGGCCGCCGCGGCCGTCATGTATCAGTCCGTCGGCGGCTCCAAATACGGTATCTCGCTCGTGACGTTGAACGACTCGAAGTAGTGGTTGAGGAACTCAAAGGTCGGCCGCTTCTCCGGCACCGCGTCCCAGCACTGCAACATCAGCCGGTAGATGCTGTCCGGCAGCGGGTGGTTGACTGGCTTCGGCATGCGGTAGCCGTTGTTCACCTGCTCTATCACCTCCCGGCCGTGCATACCTGCGGTTCGACAAAAATGAACATTTTTTCCAAACGAGACGAGGTGGGAAAACGAAAAAAAAAAACTCCTTACCAGGGTAGGGAACCTGTCCGTAGGTGAAGAGTTCCATGAGGAGGATGCCGTAGGACCAGACGTCGCTCTTGATGCTGAAGCGTCCGTAGACGATGGCCTCGGGTGCGGTCCACTTGACCGGGAAGCGACTACCCTGTTTCGGACAGTACTCGTCGTCCTCGATGATCCTCGCCAGGCCAAAGTCGCAGATCTTGGCCTTGTTCTTCTCACCGATGAGCACGTTGCGGGCGGCCAGGTCCCTGTGTATGAGCTGCTTACTCTCGAGGTGTTCCATGCCCGAGGCGACCTGGGCCGCGATGTAGATCAGGTCCTCGAACTGCATGTACTTGCCGTCGCCGGTGCGCAAGAAATCGAGCAGACTGCCGTTGCACATGTACTCCTGGACTATGTAGATCGGCTCCTCCTTCGAGCAGACCGCGTAGAGGGCGACCAGGTGCCGGTGCCGGAACTGCTTCATTATCGCTGCCTCCTGTCAATTTTTTTGTTAGATTTGTAAATTTGTATATGGTTATTTGGCGTTTAAGGAATTTTGAACTGACAAAATGTGTTTTTTTGTAATTGGACGGTGAATGGATCGACAAAACAGTGTTAAAGCCAAGTCGGAATAATTTACTCGAGAAAAATCGTCATTGAAATGTCACTAGAAAATTGTGGAGCCACTTGAATGAAAGGGATGCAACCCGGTAAAAACTCGGGTTTAATTGCTTAAAAATCAAAACTATACAAGTGGGAGGAAAGTCTCAAAGTAAGGAAAGTTCTTGAAACTAAGAGAATGAACGTGTTAAACAAACACACAAAGTTGCACTTCAAGGAAACCAATCGTCGATTCCTTTATTCCAATGTACGGTCGGAGCACCAACTCGCTTTGGAAAAAAGGTTGTCGGTAACCGTTGACTATTCCATTTAGGCGTAAAATGTATCAACTCCGACGTACACTGGAGAATAAGTATGAATAAATAAATCAACCGAATGGCGCTCACCTGCAGGAAAGCCTCGGTCGACATGGTGCCGGGTCTGAGGGTCTTGACGGCCACCTCGATCTTGTTGCGCCACTTGCCGTAGTAGACCTCGCCAAAGTGCCCGTACCCGAGTTTCCTGATCAGCTGGATCTCCTTGCGGTCGATCTCCCACTTGTCCCTGAGCTCCGGGCCCAGATCCCACATGTCCGGCTGTGGCTTTGGACACGGCTTCGACAGCACGTGACACAGGCCCAGGGCGTTTTCTTCGATTGCGGGGATTAAAGGAAAAAAGAAAAATGTATCCAACGGTTCGATTCATTCGTGCCCCTTGCATCCAGTTACAACTATTAAGAATGACATAAGCCACTTCGGCGCGAAAGCCTCTCGATTAGCTCGGCTCCCCGGACAACCCCCCGACGCGACTTGCACAACTGAACACCGAGAGAGAGAGAGAGAGAGCGCGTACGGAGATGCCTTGTACCCTCTGCCCAAGAAGGTGGTATAGTAGGATGTGCGTGTGTACTCACTGCTGTAAGCCATGACGAGGGCCTGGAGGGTCGGGAAGGTCTGGTTGGTGGCGATGAAGAAGCCGCCGTTGTCCAGGGGCTTGATCTTGTAGTGCTTGACGTGGTGGCCCCGGCCCTCCTCCCAGTCCTTAACCGAGAGACTGTAGCCGCGCGGGTTGTGCTCGCTGGGCCGCACCAGGAAGGTACCGCGGGGGTTCTCGTCCACCAGGAGTAGCTTGCCGGCTTCCTTGCGCGACACGTTCTCGAAAAACCAGCTGGAAAAGGTTACAGGGTGAGCACCAACGGTATACATGTCATCGCGAAAGGACAAAGGCATCGTGGGATTATTTTTTTACCAATAATAACATCAACCTGCATGTACCAACGCCAAAGTTTTTACTTTGTCAATGTTTCACGAAAGTAAGTAGAAAAAAAAATGTTTGTTTCTTTTGATTTCATCAAACATTTAGTGTGATATATTTACGCTATGAGCATGTATAGGTTGCTTTTATAATTTTTATTTTTGGATAATATAATATCCACGAGTAAATTCATCCTCTTTGAAAACAATTTTGTACATTTGAGTGGCAAGTGCAGTGGATTATTGGATGTGTGTCTTTGGATCGGCAATGATTCATGCAATTCTTGATCCAAATGATTTACATTTCTTTTTTCTGATGCAGGTAATAATCCTACATGGACGCATTGGAAAGTTTTGTATTTTTTTTATCGATACAAAAACATTTGTGTCTAAAGAATATAATGAAAACCAAGCTTTTTCATTTAAGTATTTTTAACCAGTGTAAAATGATTTTTTGAAAAAAAAAAAAAAAAAAGCCATTTCTTCGAAATTCAAGGGGAAAGAGGCGTGATTAGTTGTACAGAAATGTAACACGCGGATATGACGAGGCTTGTTTAACCAAAGCGTTGCTCTTTTGTTACAAAATACATGTACAGCATTGTATAGGAAGCTGGAAATTATAATGAAACTGCAGGTGTGGTTATTTAATTGACTGTACATATACACACGGGATACAGTAAAATATTTTATTCTTCGTTAGCTGCCATCGCACAATGTCAATACAAAAGTGCTAAATCTTTTTTTTACAATATATAATACTTTTTAAGACATTTTTCCAGTCGATCAATTACTTTTTAATAATTTCTTGTGACTACTGGTATAGAGAGAGTACGAGAAACGCTTTTTTCTTTTTCTTTTCTTTACGCAAGATCCCATAAAATCATCAACGTATGAAAAGTGTCGTGAAATCGATTGGTACAGACAGCAGGGAATCACGTATAGTAATCGTTTATCGCAGTTATATATTATTTCGTACTTTATTGTTTCTTTTTTTTTTTTTTTTTTTTTTTTTTTTTTTTTTTTTTTTTTTTTTTTTTTTTTTTTT